CATTTGTGATATTTGTCGTGCCTCAGTTGCAATACCAAAGCGTGGTAACTTAGAGAGGCATCATAAAACGGTTCATAAAAACTATGAAAAAGATTTTCCGCCACAGAGTGAATTAAGAAAACGAAAAGTAAGTGATTTGATATCTTGTTTGAAAAAAGAACAATCCATGTTCACAAGACCAGCCAAACAATCAAAAGCTGCTACGATCGCGTCATTTAAAATATCTCATATTTTGGCGAAACACAAGAAACCATTTGAAGATGGATCGGTGGTGAAGGAAGCATTTATTGAAGCGGGTGAGACTTTATTTGGAGATTTTAAAAATAAAAGAGAAATCATGTCTGCTATTAGAGAACTTCAGTTATCTCGTCCGACTGTCACAAGGCGTATTGAAGTCAAGAGTCAAGACATCGCAGATAAACTAAAACATGATATCATGGAATGTACATACTTTTCTTTACAGTTCGACGAATCCATCGATATGACAGACACTGCCCAGCTGTGTATTTTTATTCGGATGGTATTCAATGACATGTTGGCTAAGGAAGAATTTTTGACAATCATTCCTCTGAAGGGGAAGACCCGTGGCGAAGATATATATGACGTTTTCTTAAATTTTGTAAAAAACTACGAGCTACCAATATATAAATTAATAAAAAAACTTTTGTTTAAAATCCTTTATAAAAGGTATATAAAAATGCCTCAAACGGGCTATCACAAACGCATTGCAAAACGTTTTCGGATTAAACAATCCATCATCAGTGCAAACGGTTGTACATGCTAGTAGCCACCAAAATATATGGTAAAAACCCATTAAATGTTATAAATTTGAAGTTGTTTTACATTATTAGTATTTCTAATTTGTGATGGTTAAGTTACCGTTGGATAGGTAACATGGCGGCGTATGACTCTACATGAGTAAAATGGTCCTGAGACGAAGTGTCTACGAGGACCTGTTGATAACAACTCTGAGTTGTTATCTGAGTCATAACTGTTATTGCCCGAAATAACAGCTTTTCTAGACGAAAGAGGTGATGACACTCAGATTTTGAAAAACGAAAAATGGCTAAATGATTTGGCATTTTTGACTGACATCACAATGCACTTAAACACGGTTAACTTGGAGCTTCAAGGTTAAGGAAAAACTATTATTGAGATGATAAGCGCAGTAAACGCATTCAAAAGTAAAAGAAAGGATCTGAAACATTTTCCATCTTTGAAAGCAAGGATTCCTCAGTTGAATTATGACACGTATGAGGCTGAATTATCAAATATTTTGGGACAATTCGAAATGCGTTTTTATGATTGCAGTAAATTGGAAAATATAGCATCATTTATGAGTTATCCTTTTTCATGTAAAAACATTGAGGAATTAGCTACTGAAATAGCAAGTCAGTTTAATATGAACTCATGTTCTGTTGAAAATGAGTTGGTTCAGATTATATCAGATATACATCTCAAAGCTACAGTATCTGATACAAATTTCTGGCGTTTTATATCTGAAGATAAATATCCGAATGTAAGGCAAATCGCCCTTCAACTGACGGCATTTTTTGGGTCAACTTACTTGTGCGAGTCTGCATTTTCTGAAATGAAGATAATTAAGTCAAAATATCGCAATCGACTAACTGACGATCATATGACATCATGCTTGCGATTAGCACTCAGTGGTTACGTACCATCTTATGAAAAGTATGCTGAGAACATGCAGTGCCACGCTTCAACATTCAAAGCCACTCCTTAGTTAAGTTTAACACCATATGTAACTGTTTTGTTTTGTAACAACAAATAAACTCGCAATTTTGAATAACTATGAGTTTTTTCATTGATATTGTAGAGAAGAACCTAACTAAACCTAACCCAAACCTTGACTAAAATAATGTACCTATATTGTGTAGAAAGCTAATATCTATATATGCTACGGTACGCCCTACCTAAGTAGGTAGGGTGTACGACAACCCTGCATCACACACACTTGCAGTCTCTCAGAGTCAATCGTAAGTAGTCTAAAAATATTGAGGTAGATCGCCAGCAGTTCAAGTTTGAGCACCCCTGTTTAGAGTATACTCATTTTGATTACGTGGCCCGTTACGCGGGTAAGTCCCGTATCGTTATTGTTCGTCACTACCTCCTCGTGCCGGTAGTGTGTAATTTGCTACCTTCCTTGGTTCCTTGGATGTGGTAACAGTTTCTCAGGTTCCCTCTCCGAAATCGAACCATAATTCCCAATTACCCATTACAACCATGGAAGGCACAGAACCTACTATTGACATGGTAGGCGAATCAATCAAACAAATTAATCAAACTGTGAAATCGGAAGCAAGTTAAAATAGTTTTTAGAGGAATGCATCATCTTTGGGTAATATGTAAAAAATTTATTCAGGGTTAAATTTCTTTATGGATACATGCTTACGAAGGCAAAAGGCGTACCGGCCCATTACAACCATGGTCGGCACAGAACTTACCATTGACATGGTAGGCGAATCAATCAAACGATGAAATCAGAAGCAAGTTAAAATAGTTTTTAGGGGAATGCATCATCTTTGGGTAATGTTTAAACAATTTATTCAGGGTTAAATTTCTTTATGGATACATGCTTACGAAGGCAAAAGGCGTACCGGCGGGCCAGTCTGGCCGTATATTACAAAATACCAAATTGGCAAAGAACAAAAAGTTGTTGGCTCTGACAATGTTCTGATAGAGTTGTTTAAACTTATAAACAAAGAAAACATTGAATTATTGGTCAAGATGTTCAATCATATATACTTCACTGGTGAAATCCCAGAAGATTGGTTAAAGTCTAAATTCATAACAAAAAAATAACGTCCGAAACTCTGCAGCAACTATAGACTAATAAGCCTTATTAGCCACACCTTGAAGATAGATATCATCCACAGTAGAATAATAAGTATGAATAAGATCAAAATTAAACACGGTTTGGTTTTAGAACTCGAAAAGTGCGATTTAAATTGAATGTGTTTTTACAGAACTGTCGAGATAAACGCAAAGACGTCTTTGCGGTTTTTGATTATGAAAAGGCATTCGATACGACATAACCAATTAATTAAAATATTGTTACGGTAACTACCTGTTAAATGACGCCGACCTTCTCAAACATATACAGTGAACACAATTGTTTACCGACATCTATTGGCGACGTGCAAGTACTTGGATGTGATACGAGAAACGATCGTGCGCGATTGGGGAGAAATCTTGCATTTTTTACTGCAAATTTCATAGATTTCATAAATTCATATTGTCAATTGTCATATTTCATATTTGTTTGTTTATTTACACCTTCTGTCACTGAAGAAAATGGGATTTAGGAAATGCTGTGTTATAAATTGTAAAAATCCAACAAAAAATTGTCAATTTAAGTTTTATTCGTTTCCAACTTCGAAGCACAAATTACTACAAAGAGAAAAGTGGATTTATATCATAAAAAAGCATAAGTAACATAACCTAAATTATGCATTATTCTTGCGCCCGATTTTAAAGTCAGTTTGAAATAAATAATAAATAAAAGTTCACTTTTAAGTGTAAATTTTAGTTTCATAACACTCACTTAGAGTTCATTTTAACCCAAAAATCAAGTTTAATGTTTAAATTTTATTTTTTTGAAGTTTACAAAAATGCATCAAGTTTTTCTGAAGATGCATTAAGATATATTCGCTGTCCAAAAATTTACAGGGAAAGAATTAATTGTTCAAACCAATATGATGATATCATGGGCTTAACCTGCTAATTTATGCATTAGCATTATTTATGGTAATTTATTTTTCTTAATTCTTCCACATAATTCTTCCATTCTTTTTTGACATTTGCCACTACTAAAGCTTTTCCATTTGACTCAGTGCTTGGTTGAAACTTTATTTGGTAATTTACTTTCTCAAATCCAGTTTTTATTATTGCATCCATATTAACAGTAATGTTTTTATTATTGCATCCATATTAACAGTAATGCTGTAATTTAATAATATATTTATTTGTATTTACACTACATACAACCTTTACCTTTTAATAACATACCGACATAACCTCTATCTTACTTTTTCTTCTTATTCTTTTTTGGGGCTACGTCCTTGACAGTTACCCGGTAACCTCGATCTAACATGAAAGCGCAGTAAATTTTGTTGATTTACGACACCAGGTGTCGCTGTTCCGAACTTGCACGGTCCCAATAGCAGGTGTCTGGTTCTAGGTTCTGGATCAAGGGTTCTAGAAAAGTAGTTGCGTTCTAGTTTTTAGTATTAGCAAGAGTGTTAAAAATAAAAAATAAATCATAAAAAATTTTTACTAGTGTCAGAAAAATGTATGACCCCAAGAAGTGTCCAACAAGGTTGTGTACTGTCTCCACTATTGTTTAATCTATATTTTGATAAAATATTTAAACAAACTCTATATAACTTGAAGTGAAGCGGAAAAATGAATGGAAAATTAATAAATAAAATTAGATAGCATATGACTCAATTATATTGACTAATGACTGTATAAGGTCATTTAATTGCTATAGACACGGTGGGACTAAAAAGAGATGGAACTAAACATTAACTATTCTACAGTTACATCAGGGTGCATAACCAATACAAAAAGTATCCAATTTAAAATATCTTGGTTATTATATTACAGAAAAACGATATCAAGATATGAAGATAAAATGTAGAATTGTGATAGCTCGTGCATTTTTTAAAATGAGGATAATTTAACGATAACTGTAACGATAACTTGAAATATGCCAGAAGAAAATAGCTTCAGAACAATATTAAGATTTTGCAAATTTCAAAGAACTTAAATGTGAAGTGTTATTATAAAAAATATTGACAATTCAATAATAAGCAGACATAAAATTTCATTAACCTACGTATAGTAATAACAAGCTATAAGAACTATTCACTTCTGTTGGCACTTCCCAAGTGCCATACTCTTTTTTAATTTCTTTTTTTTTATTCGTCCCTTCCCAAGATATTAATGCTTTATTCATTTTTTCTGTTCTGTTTTAGGTACCATTAACCGACAATGTATGATCCATCGTGGAAAAGGTGTAGGTGGCACCAGCTTAATAAATGGAGCAATATATAGTAGGGGTGATCCCAATAACTTTAATGACTGGGCGAGAATTATAAAAGATCCTTCTTGGTCTTACAAGAATGTTTTAAAGTATTTTAAAAAATCGGAAAATTTTCATTTTACGAATCCAAATGCAACAATAGACATGAAATACCACGGAGATGATGGTTTGATGCAAGTTCAGCATCGTTTACCGGATTATTTTCTTAATGAAGTGTTTTTAAATGCTAATGAAGAACTAGGTTTTCCTAAAACGGACTACAATGGCCCAAACCCAATTGGAGGTTCGATATTTCAATTATCTTCAAAATATGGCGTCCGACAAGATTTGGGTGGCATATTTATAACACCATTTCTAAAAAGACCCAATCTTCAGATTTTAACAAATAGTTATGTTACCAAAATAAATATAAACCCTAAAACAAAATCTGCGGACGGCATCTTTTTTACAAACTCAAGAAATAAGTGCCGAGTTAAAACTAACAAAGAAGTGATACTTTGTGCTGGTGCCATTTCGAGTCCACACATACTTCTGCTATCCGGAATAGGACCTAGAGAACACTTAGAGGAAGTTGGTATACCAGTAATTGAGTCATTGCCGGTGGGAAATCGGCTAAAAGATCACGCAGTGTTTAAAGCTTGTATATTTGAAGCCAATTTTACTGCAAGAGATCGGCCTCTTGACGAACAACTTAAAGATTATTTAAAAGGCGTTGGAGAATTAACAGCACCGTCTATTGCTCAAAGTGTGGGCTTTTACAAAATGAACGATAAAAATAACGTATCTGATTTGGAAATTATCACTGATACTGTTAAGTCTTCAGAGGTGGAAAAAAGATACTCCCATTGGACAAACGAATCTTTTCAGGACGTTTGCAAGAACAACAAAACATGTATCGGCTTTTTATTAGCAAATCTGTTTCCAAAATCAATAGGAACTATCAGACTTAAAAGTAAAGATCCTTTCGAATACCCCTTAATCGATCTTAAATTATTATCCGATCCAAAGGGTGAAGATATAGACATTCTGTTTAGAGGAATACAATTTGTATTTAGACTTATTAAGACTTCTGCCTATAAAAAACTTGGTTTACGTTATATTTCTAAAACTGTTCCAGATTGTAAAAAGCACAAATTTCGGAGTAGGGCATATTGGTACTGTCAGTTAAGACAACTCACTACAACTGGGTACCATCCAGTGGGAACTTGTCCCATGAGTAGAACAAGAAGTGATGGTGGTGTTGTCAATTCTAAATTGGAAGTATTCGGCATAAAAGGATTACGCATAGCAGACGCTAGTGTATTTCCTACTCCCTTGGCAAGTCATCCTAGTGCGGCATGTGTAATGATAGGCGAAAAGATATCTCATGAAATTAAAACACAATATAAAAGATAAAAGTATTATCTACATCTCTACATAAATTTATATTTTAAGATAATAATATTTTGGCCATAAAGATAATATACAGCGTTTATTGTAATATTGATTGAACAGACTAAACTAATAAATTTATTTAAAAAATGTTCTATTTCTTTATTTTTGTAACATTTTCGACTTAATTATATATGTGTCCTTTTCATTTGTCATGTGCCTCGTAGGAAGATTTTAATCTCAATGTTTTAAGAAAGGTAAGTATATATGTTAGAGAAGGTATAAGAAAAAACAGTAAAACATTAAAGTATGAAGTTAGTTCTTCACATTGTCTCGTAGAGCATAAGGCGCTTTCATGTTTCTGTGGCAGCAATTTATGAGATGGTTTTGCTGCAAATATACAGTATGTCACTATGTGTAGCACACAACTGCTACTTCCCCTATTTTTGCTTGTATTTTTCTAACCATTGCAATATTTTTTCGATATTATTATTATTATTATTATTATATAACAAATAAGGGCAGAGGAGCGAGCTCCTATTATGCCCAAAAAGCAAAAATAAACAAAAATAAAATAGATCCTTATAAAACTAATACTAATTATAAAGTTAAGTAGTTAAACAATTAACGAAAATTGAATTGTGACACAATAAATAAATAAATAATGCTGTCCGAGAAAAAATATCCTATCCTATAAAAAAAATAAAGTGCTGTCAAGTTTATTTTTAAAGATGTTAACACTAGCTGCCGATATGGTGTTTTGATCCAAATTGTTCCATATATTAAAGATTCTGTTTGGCAAGAAGTTCGCCCTGGACCTTGCAGTAGTTTGTTCCCTCTTTAATTTGTATTGATGGCCTCTTAATCTATCGTCTTCATTCAAAGTAAATATGTTGTTTAGGTTCCCAAAATTATGTTTTAAAATACGGAAGGACATAATTAGGTCACCTCGAAGACGTCGCTGCTCGAATGTCGTAAGATGAGCCATGAATAGTCTATCTTCATAGTTAGGTCTTACACGGCCGTATGCCAGTCTTGTGGCTTTACGCTGAACGTTTTCAAGTAGAATTTTATCGCGACTAAGATCTGGATTCCACACTGGTCCGGCAAACTCAAGAATAGGTCTAACGTATATTGAGTAAAGTTTACTTACAGAGGTTAGAGATATGCGTGCAAAACACTTACGAATCAAAAACAGTTTCGAGTTAGCACGTTTACACACCGACACTATGTGATCAGACCAATTTAAGTCACTATTAATTATCACTCCGAGATCATTGTGTGAGGTTACAGAGTTTAAAGGATGTCCATTAATAAAGTACGGAAGTGATGGGTTATTTTTGCCGATATGTAAAATAACGCATTTTTCAATGTTAAGCGGAAGTAACCATTCTGAGGACCATTGGAATATTGCGTCAAGATCTTGTTGAAGAATATGTTGGTTAATAGTTGGATTCACATATAACTTAGTGTCATCAGCGTAAATGGAAACCTTACTGGATACAATGAGCGGAAGATCACTAGTGTAGACACAAAAAAGTAGCGGTCCAAGTACTGATCCTTGTGGAACTCCACTCTTGACTGGCTTATCTAATGAGTGGTCTTCCCCAACACGAACCCTGAAGTATCTGTCGGATAGAAAATCTTGTATCCAAATGTTTAATTTTCCGCGGATACCATAGTGATCCAATTTAGCTAGTAATCGACGTTTTGGAACACGATCGAAAGCTTTGGAGAAGTCTAAGTAAACTACATCGACAGGATTCCGATTGTTTAAAGATAATGACCAATCATTTACACAATGAAGTAAGTTTGTGATCGTTGAACGACCTTTGATAAATCCATGCTGTTGGTGAGGGATGACATTTTCTTGAAGAAGGAACTCGGACATAGCTTCCGAAATAATCGATTCCATGACCTTGCTGACAATAGAACTAGGCTGATTGGACGATAATTATTGCAATCAAGTTTATTACCTTTCTTGAATACAGGAGTAACTGAAGCCAATTTCCAGGACGAGGGGAGGGAACCTTGATTAAAAGAAGCAGTCATTATGAGAGATATAGGGATGGCTACAGAATCTGCACATTGTTTGAGGAAAAAAGAGGTGAGTCCGTCTAATCCAGGTGATGAATTATTTCGCAGTTTCCTTAAATGATATTTAATTTCATCCGGTATGAAAGATATATTGTCAAGAGTTTTAGACAAACGAGGGCACATTATTTGAGGAATGGTATCGTTAGATTCATCTGTAAAAACTTGAGAAAAGAATAACGATAAACATTCCGAAGATTCGTTATTCGAAGAACATAAAGACCCATCAGCTTTTTGAAGCAATGGTATGGAGACTTTAGAAGATAAAGATGTACGAATGTACCGATAAACTTTTTTACTATTACCACTTGCAATGATAGATTCCTCAAATTCTGTTCTTAACTTTAGCAAAGATTGTTTGACTCGGTTAGAAAAATTACGGTGGGCGAGAAAATCATCAGGGGAACCAGTGAGTTTATATCTTCGCCAAAGCTTTCGCTTATGTCGAATTAAATGAGTAGCTGAGAGGTTAATCCAAGGTTTTAGTCGATTTCTATATACCTGCCGTTCGGTTGTATGATCAGAAATTGTTGTAATAGCAGTATGAAGAAAAGAGTCCCACATTGACGATGGATCAGAGTGATTAGGAAAAATAGATTGCCAGTTTATCTGGGATAAAACTGAATTTACATCAAAGAAATTTGTAGTGGCATACGTTACGAAATTATTTTTGCAAGGCGGTGTTAAACTAAATTGAATGTGAGCAGTAATAAGCGAGTGGTCAGAAAGACCTACAGGAGAGGACACTTCAAGTGTAGAAATTAATTCATCGTCATTTGTGAAAAATAAGTCTAAAATTGAAGGATTATTGTTGGCTCTAAACCTTGTAGGTTCAGTTATCAGTTGTAATAAATTTGAGTTCATGATAAAGTTTTTAAACAAATTTTGGGAATTAATAGTATCAGTTTTGGAAATAATGGCCAGCTAATTTCTGGAAAATTGAAATCTCCAACAACAATAAGATTTTCAAGGGATGATAATTCCTCAAGTTTGTTAATAAGCATATTGTCGTGAGTAAGTACTGTATCGGGAGTTCGATATATGCAAACTATATTAAATATGAAAGAGTTTTTAGTAATAAGTAAGTGGATAATTTCTATACCGGGTACGTCTATTGTTTTATTACTGATGGAAAAAGTGTTGGTAATTTCATTTGCTAAATAGATGCATACTCCTCCCCCTCGACGAGTATCTCTGTCTTTACGAAATATAGTAAAAATTATCAATGTTTACAATAGCATCGGGAATAGAAGAATTAAGCCACGTTTCTGTTAGGAGAATAATGTGAGGTTTTAAAAGTTGAACAGTACTTATAAATTCATTAAATTTGGACATAAGAGAGTTTAGATTCGTATACATAAGAAGCCAATCCGTAAATTTTAGTGCAGAAGAATTATGAACGAAATTTCATTATCTTTGGACAGCCATTCACATATTTAATCGTAAGGTCATTTTCTCCATTATTTTTACGAGTTTCAAGCTCAGTACGAAGTTCCTTTAAACGAAGTTGCTGCATAGGTGTCTTGTCATCAATAACAGAATAAGTTTCAGTAGATTTGTTCTCCAAAAGTTTATTTTTGTTACGAAGAATTTTCGAGTGTGGTGTTCAGAACTCATTATCACTTTTATCATGCGGGATAACGTTTATTTTGATTTGGTTTACCGACTCTATAAAATGTAACAGGACTTTCTTGACATCCAATGACTTCTAGGGCTAAATGTATTTTATTCTTATCATGATCTTTTTTATTTTGTGCGTCTCCTGTAGGTTCGGGGACGCCTCTAACCAAAAAATTTTTGGAACGAGATATGCGGTCAGTGGCTTCATTGACAATGTTCGTTTTCTGTTAAATCTTACAGATCCATCCAAATTTACGATTTTGTTTAACAAGAAAATTTAGCAAGTAATTGAGGGACACTAAATATTTTATAGATGGAAATAAATTACAATTAATTATTGTTTTGGATGTCTCTTTTCCTAACCTTACCAACCTTATCCAGCGACTAGCAGCATTCAGACGAATTTCAAAGTAAAAAAATGATCCTTAATGGGTTTTAACCTTCACAATTTGTTTGCTTTGCCATTTAAAAAAAAATAATATGTACTAAACTTTTAACATTTTTAAAATAGGTGTTTTTTGGTTGGTGCCAAATAAAGAATCGTTTAAAATTCAGTGTATTCATGGCATTTTTTTAAATGTAGGTTAAAGGTGTCTCTTTAAATACATCTGGCAATGTACCTTAGTGTTCTTTATATATATATATATATATATATATATATATATATATATATATATATATATAATATATATATATATATATATATATATATATCTATCTCCGCCAAAAAAGTATCGCATCACCTATGAAACTGCAAATTTTGGATTAAAAATAATTTAAAACATGAATTGTGTACTGTTGTTTTTTGTTATTTTTTAAGTACATAACAAGTATTAAAAGAAAAATGAAGAATGTACGAAAAATAAAGGTTTTATTTAATTTATTTCATAAATTAGAAGTAAGCGCACAAACAGCATTGAATAATAAAAAATCAAAATCAAAATTAATGATAATTTAGTAAGACGTATTGCCTCCTCTAGCTCTTATAACATCTAAACAACGTTGTGGCATACTTCCAATTAATCTTCTTAGATAATCTGGATCGATATTGTCCCATTCTATGGTTAACAACCGTTGCAGGTCCTGAAGATTAGCTGGCGTCACATTACCAGATCTCACCCTTCTGTAAAGATGGTCCCCAAACATGTTCTATTGGATTTAAGTCTGGGCTGTGCGCTGGCCAATTCAAAACTTGTAAATTTACCTCTTGAAGGTACTCGGTAACGATTCTTGCGACGTGTGGGCGTGCATTGTCATGCATTAAAACAAAGTCATTACCAATAAATGGGGCGTAAGGAACAACATGCATC